ATTTCTAAGAATCCTGTTCGTGAGAAAAAAAAAAAAGAAGAAAGAAAAATTTCACATCGTGTAGGTTTCAAATTGAAATTCACGAAACCAAAGCTTATAATTGGTCATACGTAGATCACTGCATTATACCGTGTTCACGAAGCAGGCCATTGTGTCCAATAATAAAACGAAAATGGCGTTTACAATGAGGGTCAATAGCGACGATAACGTGTAGCAGCGAGGCGGATAACGCACAAGCGCGTGACAAAGACAAAAGGCGGACGCATGGATCCATCATTTTCCGAATTTCTATTAATCAGTTCTCCAATAGTGGACAATGGCGCGACGAGTAGGCAATTAACCGCCACCTCCCCCGTTGGTTTTCGTAAATGAATAAAAGGCACGTGTGCGCTTAAATGATTCGACGAATTGTTCCTGCTATTGTTGTTAATTACGCACGTTCTGCGCCAAATGAATACGGAATATTTCGTCGTGCGACATTTGTTTCGAGAGTGATTCAGTTTAGCTTAAATATTAGATTATTTAGCACGGCCCGGAGAAAAATGGAGGAACTAACGGTGTGAAATTGTACGGCGATATTTCCTCTCTCATTTCGTCGAATAACAAAGTTCGTAGGTGGCCGCGAATTAATGTTGTGGGAAATTTGTCAGCTAGGAAATTCATTTTGTTTGAGATATTTCGAGCTACGAAATTTATTCGAGTGAGATGGCGAATTTCTGAGGTGCCTAAATTATCTATTATGATAAAAAAAAAAAAAAAAAAAAAAAAGAAACTTGAGATAGAAAGTTGCGTTTATAGGAAATATGCTTCTGCGTTTTACATTCTGTGGGAATTGTCGACTTTTCTCTCGACAGTCTAATTGAAAAAAAATGGGCTGGATGTGAAAGACGAATATGGAATATGGAGTATGAGATACAGAATATTGCACTAGAATAATGGAACGTGAAATGTGACACGTAGATTGTAGAATGTGGGATGCAGAAGGTGGAATATGGAATATACAAACATTACACAAGGATAATGGAATGTGAAACATATGACATGGAATATGAGACGCAGAAGGTGGAATATGAAATGTGAGACGTATACACAGGACATGGAACATGAAATATGAGACGCGAAATGTGGAATACATGGAATGTGGTCTGTAATATATACTGAATGAAACATTACGAAGAATGTGACAAAAGACATGGGATGTGGAACATAAAATACGAGTGTAGAATGTGGAATGGTTAATAGACGTGTGCGAGAACCTGAAAATATTGGGAAACTCGGCTACCGTTTCTCGAACTATTCTACAATCCTGTACAGCAGCCTACAAAATATGTAAATACACAGTTCAATTTCTTCTGCCAGTTATTGGAAACACGGATTCTAAGAATCGTGTGACCTGATGTAAACGAACGTGTGACCGCGCGCTTAGTATTTGGACATTATGTACGCTGTTGAGCAGTATCGCTGAGAAACTCGGGAAGTTCAGACGTATATTTCGAAAATCTGATTAAAAATCTTTGAAAAAAAAATGCCGAGTGATAGTGATAGTAAAGTTGTGGTAGCAGAAGAAAGTAGCGCAGAAGATGTCGTGCAAAGGAAGAAGGTAAAGAGAAGCTCTGTTTGGGAACATTTTCAAGAAAAAGATGACACAACGGCGGAATGCACGCATTATCACCATGAATTTAAAACTAGTAGGTATGCAAACACTACTGGTTTACGTCATTTGAAACATATGCATCTAAACATAAGTACATGCACTAAAAACGAAACTGAATCGATATAAAATTTGTCAAATGAAAACGCGAAAGATTGTTAAACCAAAAGATATAATAGAAAAAAAATTGTTCGAATGATGGTTCTAGATGTGCGACCTTTTGAATACAGTTGAAGACGTGGGATCTAACGAATTATTTATTCTTGTTACGAATCATTTCCCGAATCCCGATTCTTTCGAGAATATATTTCGAATTTTCGCACACCTCGCATAATACGTGTAATATAAAATTAAATCTATTAACAAATTCCCAATGCATCTTTATCTAATTTTTCCATTTAACTCGTTTAATTTCTACGTCTTTGAATTGCCCGGAAGTACAGCAACACCCACGGTCCAATAATCATCCAATAAACACCCGGAATCATCGTGTAAATGTCATCGTCAAAGATCATTAAAATCGCATCAGTGCTCGAAATCACCATAATCCCCTTCTTTCACGCGACGACCTCCGATACCAGCGGCGAACAAACTCGCGCTGGCGGCAACTTGCAAGCGTCTCGGCTAATAAAACGAAAATGTACTCGTAATCCTGTTATCAAGCGAACCACCGTCTCTCCTCTCCTCTCCCTCGCCTCTGCTCAGAAACAATAGCGGCGACGCTCGCTCACGCGTATTCATCGCCTACTTATACACGATTGTGTATCGTGCTCGTGGAATATGCGTGCATTAATACCTGTGGATGCCCGCATTCGAAACAAACGGTGAATGTATGTACACGATGAATAAAACATCGACTGGCCCTTCAGCCCACTCTCCCTTCTCTATCGATTTTACCAGCGCGGCCAACTTTCGTCGATTGTTTATCGCCCGATCTCGTACTTTCCACTTCGTCGATCCACGCTATCATCCGCGTTGAATTAAGGATCGATTGATACGGTTTCTAAGAGATCTTTCGGTAGTAATATCGGAGAATAAGTTTGTTTGGGATTGAACGTTTGTTTAACACGCGTGTTAGGAATTTTCAGGCGGGATGTTTCGAGACGTTGGTTGCGTGTAGGAGATAATATTTATTGTATATATAAAGTATTATTTTATTATTATGTATCATTGTTGTCATAGAACTATCATTAAATATTATTTTCATTGTTAAATTTATTAATTATTAAATATTATTTTTATGTTTGTTAAATATTGTTAAATATTGTTTATTAGGATCATAGAACTATCATTATGCGAATGTGCGATTTTATTATTTCATTATTTTAGTAGACGTTATTTATTAATATTTCTGGGCAGTCAGAGTCACGTGGCTAGGTATTATGATCAAAATTAGGCGCTAGAAATGATAAACTATGAAATTTTCTGTTCTTGTACAACGTGTACAACATTTATTTCAAAATCAGGATATTAAATAATACTTGTACGACGAAAAATCTGTCAATTGTATTACTGTTTCACTATTTTTATCATTAATTATATTACTGTTGCCATTTTTTACATTACATAACTATATACATTAACAGTAGTGCAAAAATTAAAAATTGTATCATCCACATTGATAAATAGAAACCGTTCGCTCGACGAGATTCACGAAATTATTTTCCAAACTGTCCATTATCGAAGAAAGAGAAAAAAAAAAAAAAAAAGAAAGGAAGGAACCAATTTTCAAGCAAAAACCAATTTCAAACTGTAGAAAAATAGATTCGCTATTTTTAGAAAAGAGCACCGGTCTCCTCTGACGCGTCTAAAATATTATAAACAACTGTTTCTAACAACGCAACAACTGTAACCAAAGAGAGAGCGGCCACGTCTCTGCCAAAATTCTCACCTTTGTCGTCAACAGGTCAGCCTCAGCAGCCTGTAGAATGCGTCTCGCATTAACATGCGCTTCAAAAGAGAGAAAGAAAAAGAGAATGGAGGAGGAGGAGGAGGAGGAGGAGAAAGAAAAAAGCGAGAAGATTAATTACGCGGCGGACAATTACGTTGAAACGAACGCGAGCGAAGATTTCGCGCGTAGGCGCTTTTGTTCCCCGCGATGCATGCCAGTCCCGTTAATTTCGGCGTCGTGTGTCGCGCCGGTCACCGCAATTAATTAACCAACCGCCTGAAATAAAGCGAACAATACGTCTTTCTATCGCCCGTGAATACCCCCGGGCGAGAAATCTTTTTTTTTTATTTTTATTTTTTTACGAAATAATCTCCAGCGCAAAGTTTGCGCAACGTCGTACACTTTTATTTGCAACGAAATTGCCGTGAAATTGATTAATTTTCCGCGAGGTGCATGCGAGTTAGAAGAAAAAGAAAAAGAAATATACGATTGAAAATCGTGCGGATTTTATTTATAAATTATTGTCGTTGGCAATAAGTGAAATAAATGGGTCGGAGGAGAATTAAGAGTGGATGAATGCCATTATTTACGCGCTCAAATGAAGATGAATGAATATATTTATTCGTACGGCACGAACGATGTGAAAGTGAATATGTATACTTCCGGGAGGAAATATAATGATATTTGTAAATTGTAAGTAAATATATATATATATATATATTGTTTAATCGTTGCGTACTGCAACAATTTAAAGAGCTGAAACATTCGATAAAAGATAAATTCGTTTGCGAATGAAATAAGTGCGCGTTAATATCATCTCTAAATGTAATTTGTTAAAATAAATTCGTAATAATTAAATAAATTTATAAATTCGTATAAAACATGGAAGAAAGACCCAGTAAATTAAAGTTTGTTTGTCATTGTTAATAATTTTGAAATAGAAGAAAGTCTAATTTGTGATTCTAGATAAATACTATGTATAAATATAATTTATATAATATTAATATAATATAATTTATATAGTATAATTTATATAATTTATGTAATATACTTTATATAATTTATATAATATTAATTAATATTATTTATACAAATTTATATATTTATATATATAGAAAAAGAAGTCATACCATTGAGTCAAACTCTTCGCTGTGTAATTTAATGACATTGGAAAAAATTTCAGATTTCAAATTTAATATGCAGCGTGAAACAAAATTCACATTCTACTTCTTCTTCTACTCTGTTACTGCTACTACATGTCCACATGTGTGAATATAAAATTGCATGAATAGCTGTAACAATATACACGTATATTATAATCTCGTATCATCAACGTGCATTACAATCGATACCATATCGAAACCAGTATCGAGAAAATGGACGATCGTAGATTTTAATTACGCGAAGATGCTAGAGGCCGGATTATCAAAATCACATTTCATTTCTCGTCTGTTGCAGTGCGTATTGTACCTGTGGGCACTTAAGCTGTGCCATCCAAACACACTGTTTCTCCTCAGAGGCAACCACGAGTGCCGTCATCTCACGGAATACTTCACGTTTAAGCAAGAATGTAAGTAATCGTCACTCCGCGAACAACCGTTCTCGAAAAGAAAAAAAAGGAAAATTAAGCCCTTTGACGAATTCACGGATCCGTAAACACACCAACGGCCTGCCCTGAACTCGTGTCTCTCTAGTAACATTCGATTAGTTCTCCTAACAGGCGGGGAAAATATTTCAATGCTCGAGAGCTTTCTCTTTTTTTTTTTTTTTTTTTTTTAATTTTTGCAAAAGCTGCGAATTTCGAGCGATTTTAAACTGTGCTTGATTTCTCTCGATTTGATTTTGAACCTCCGAATTTTCACGAAATCGCGGCTATGAAGACAGTGATTCGTCCCGAATATTCGATCCCATTTGTTGGAATGCTCTTTATTATAATGCTGAAGCAGCCCGATTTTTCCATCTACAAACTGACTCCCTTTTATTACCGCACGGAGGAACGATTTCAATAATTCTTTTTCTCGTTTTATCCATCTTTCTCTCATTTTTATCCGTCTCTCGTTCGTTTACTTTTTTAAATTGCTTTCATCATCGATTTGCTGCCAACTTCAGGCCATAAATAATGTTTTCATTAAAAGGACTGTTCCGGCTGGGAATTTCATTGATTTTTATTAGTTTCTTCAACGGCGGGCATTTACGTTAATAAATTTTTATACAGCGAGTTAACTGTGGACTGTGTCTTTCGTTGCTTAAAAATTGTTTCACGGATTTGCCTCGGTTTTCACGCATGACGAACGCGTTTATCTCTTCAGAACTGCAGGATGAGACAGAAATCTTACTTCCTACTAAAGTAAATCCGTAATTTTTTTTTTTATTATATATTTAATAAAATTGGTTGTTTCTTATATTTTGATGTTTTACTAAAACACGCAAGTGGGAAGATACTTTACGGTCACCCTATATATCAGTCACTAAGTAGACGATGTGAAACAAAAATATTCTTCTCTCCTTCTTTTTTCAAATTTGTAGATTTTTCGATTTTTCATCAACGAATGACGTAAAAGTCAAAAGATTAACAGAAATATGCTCCATTTCTTCTAATATAAATTCAAGTATTATTATCCCCTATCTTTGGACATCCCCAACCACTCTTAACTTCCTGTTTTACTTTATTAATAAACTTTATATATTTATTTAACATAAAACAATTTTTATTATTTTCTATTTTATACTCAATTGTTTTATATTTCATTATTAATTTATTAATAAAATTAAATTTTAGAAAATTATGTATTACGTTTAATTTTAAATTTTTAAATTATGTTTCTAAATTATGAATATTAATTTATTGAATATTACCATTATTATTTAGATTTATATTAAAATGAGATTTTCTATGTGAAATAATTATATTTAATAAATTTTTATCATATTTATATTTATTATATCTATCATCAAGCTTACTATTATTATGAAAATGTTTAATTATTTTTAAAAAAATTTAGACACCACAGTGCCCTAAAAATCCGCAAAAATAAACTTTGCTGCCAAATACAAATTGAAATGTCCCCAGTCGCAATTTCCTCTTCAAGTTCAGAAACGATTGAAAGAAGAAATATTTCTCTAGCCTTCAAACAAAGTGACTTGTGAATCAGAAAAGGAAAGAAAAAAAGAACGAGAGGTTCAAACTTCTCCCCTCCACTGCTCGCAAATATTCCAAATTCAAATGTATTCCTCGTTCTCTTTCAGTCTGTTCAAGCTTCGAGAAAACCGAGATTGCGACAAATTTAAATATTCCCGCCAACTTGTTCAACCGTGGTTCTTCTCGAACCTTCTTTGGGAACCCTCGGGAAATCTCGACGAAAATTTTTCGTTTCGTGTTCAAGTAACCAACGAGCCAACCTGTTTGCTAACCGAACTGTTGCTAAAATTCGCGATTCAACAATCGTTTGTCCAGAAGAGGAAGGATTCGGTTTCAGTGTAGATTGGTTCTCGCGCGATTACTGTCCGATTGCAGGATCCCGCGATGCAATCAGCGATGTCTCGAGGCTGTTCTGCGTGGCGCAGCGGAGGCGCCATGGAAAACCGTATCGATCCTGGGAAAATTGTCCGATACTGGGTCAAGCCGCGTGTATTTACGAGGCTCAGGCTCGCGTTAACCCGTTACGCGGATTTCTTGCCGGCTGCGCCGATTTCGTAATTTCCAGGTTAAGGTCAGGGACCCTAAATCGCCTGACTCTCATATGGCAACTGGGCGGCTTTTTTTTCTAATTTTACGAACCATTTTACTTTTACGTATAAATTAAATTTATTTAAAAAGAACTAGATACTAATGAATAGAACAAACATTTAATTTCTAAATATATATTTATTTTTTTTATTCTACAAAAAAAAAATAATATTTATGCATGTATGTATATATTTAGATCATTTACTTTCGAGATAATTAATATTATTAAAATTAATTAATTGATACAAATGGTAGAAATTTTACTTACATATTTTTAAAAAATTCATTTTCATTATAAGCTATTAATAATATTATTAATTTTTAATTATTGCTAAAATATATTTTTTTTATTATGATATTTTTATTAATATATTTATATTATTGTAATATATTTTTATTTAATTATGTTAATTTTAAATTAGATATTTATATACATAAATAAATTTGTATTTTATTTATATTTTTATCGAGTAATGTTTTAAAAAGGTTTAGAATTCTGCTAGGTATGGACTCTAAATATTAAATTTTGAATGACACTGGGTTTCAAGTGATAACCCTTCGAAAATTTGATTAATTAAAAAATCTGGTAACAACAGGCTTTATTTTCTTGTAATCGATAATCATCGAAGTCGAGCAGCAATCCTAACGTTCTTCGTTCCTAGTTTTCATTTCCTTACGTTATCTTTATATTAAATTCGTTAGAAGAATAATCAATATTATATCAGGGCGTTATCATTTTATTCCGATATTGGCACTGTGTCTGAAGAGATATACGTTCTGGAACTATCAAACTGATCAAAACGATCGATTTATAATTTTTGTTGGAAATTTTACGGACGAGTGTATTTTCAGAGATTTAAATGACTTTTCACAGTAAATAATTTAATTTATCGTGTTACAAATCTTCTCTATTTTTCTGGTTTTCACAGTAATTCGTCGCTTTCTTTTCGAACTCGTCGGAATAATATCATTGGGTAGAAATAATAAATTTATTCTTTGCTTGGATTATATTTAACCTCTTGCGGTAGAATAACGTGCCACGCACGTCGAGAAATTTTTTCCCCCAAATTGCAACATTTCCTCAGTTTTAAGTATATTTAAATGTAACCCAGGCAAAACAAATAATAAATTTATTACTTCTTAATCATTTCTATCCAGTGATGTCATATTGATGGGTTACGAAAGAAAACGAAAGCGACGAATCGTTGTATACGGTTCGGTCACTCGTTATGGTCCGCAGAATTTAAAAGGCCGCCATATTACTTTATTTTAATGATTCAACATTTAATTATAAAAATATTTCTTATATTAAAATAATAGGGTATCTAATCCTAGTTTAATATTTAATTTTCATATATTTTTATATATAAATTTATAATTATATAAATAATTTAAATTTCACCTGTAATTATTAATTTTTTTATATAAATAATTTATTTGTTAATTATTAACTTATAATATAAGTTTAACCGCTATTGCTGGCACTTTAATTTATAATTATTAATTTTAATTCCCTTATTTAATTTTCATTAATTTTTATATAAAGAATTTTTTATTAATCTTATATATTATATTTAATTTTAATAAATTATATATAAAATATTAATTTAATTAATAATTTAACCATAATTATATTTTGTATAATTTATGTATATTTTTGTTTTTGTTTTTTTTTTAACCAGTTGTCAACGTAAGTGGTTAAACATACTTGAAACTGAGAAAATATTGCAACTATAGAAAAAAAAAAAGAAATACTTCACTCCATCGCAAGTGGTTAACATTAGAACTACTGACGACCAAATATATTTGTAGCAAAAAAATTAAAGTACAATGTACAAGAAGAAATTAATAATACGATAAAGAACACAATCTTACGTTAATATGTTTTGTCAAAAATCACTCGGTTATCTAAAAATATTCTGTTGCAAATGTATAAAATTTTCCATAGAAAATCATAAATTAATTGTTTTGATCACTCTGGTAGTTCCAGATGTTAATGTTACCGATGGAAATTTCGCAGCGTCCGAGACGAATTTTTAATTTTTAATTTGTCGGATACTCCTCGTCTGTCTGTCATTAAATCTGTCAGACTTTCGATAATTTCGAAGCGCTTATCGCTTATAGAGGTGCTTTGATATTTCGACCGCAGTCTGAACCACGGGCGAAGCACAGTGGTCACGGCCGAAGAACGGTGTTGCTCAGGCATGCCGCGACGAAACTCGCCGGAGATCGTTTCGTTCTTGACTTATTTATTCGGGTCAAAAGCTCGCAAATGAGCTTTCTGGAGTGTGGAGCCAGCAGCGCGATGGTGTCTGACTGGCATCAAAAGAAAGTCAAGGGGTGACGGGGCTCGATCTGCTCGTTAATACAACGAGAGAAGCGTGAGCGGGAAAGGAGGCCAGAGCGGCTGAGCACGAGAAGCGTGCAGAAGCGTGCAGAAGCGTGCAGAAGCGTGCTGGCTACGACGATATTACCGGCCATGTACAATTAACGAGATCTAGAAAACGAACGTCTTGATTACCTTCTCTTTATTTTGTGTACTCGTTCATCGCTATTTTATATTCCCATCTTGTATGTCATCGAGTCTTTTGCCATTTGTTTTTTTTTTTTTTTTTATTTCTGTTTCTACGGAGACAGAGTGGAATTGCAAGAACAATGATTTTCGAAAGAGAATCGGTTGGGAAAGAGTTGCTCTGTTTGTTTAATGATCATCCATTTTCTGAACGTTTCGTGAATGTTCGAGAAAAAATTCCAAAATTAAGTAATTTAAAGATTCTGAATTGTTTCAAGTCCAACAGTTTGAGTCGTGGAGGACTAACGTTGCAATATTTCACTTACGACTTTTCT